GCATTGGTTCAGTATGGCGCAGTGGGTATTTGAAGAGTTTGGTTCCAAAACGCGATAAACGCCATTTAAAAAAAAAATTAGTTGCTGCAAAAATCAGTATTGTATCTGGTTGGTATTGAAAAGTCAATGTTTAATTTTAAGTAAAATGCGATATCCGCCGTGTTATTCTGTCATGTTTTCTCCCTTTCTTTCCAAACCGCGACAAACGCCAGTCTCCCTTCTCTGCAGAATGCGATATATCCGCTCTCAACCAATCACAACGCACCATTCCACGCAATGCAAACAGTAACGGCAGCGCCTTAAATACACCCGGCTTCCTAGTTTTTCTTATCTATTTTGTACTTTTCGATCAACAAACAAACAAAAAATGAATAATTTTGACGGCATTGATGAACCTGTGGTTGTTTCTGCGGTGGGTAAGAAACGTAAGGCATCGAAATTGAATCATTTACGTGAGAAGATGAGGCACTCGGGAGGAGGAAAAATGTTTTCAATCTTCTTTACAGTTCTTAATAAAAATATTATACTAATAAACTTACGTTGTTGTGTATTTTCAACAGTTTCAATATGAAAAAAAAAACTTTTATATTGATTCAATGGATTAATTGCATTTTGATTAAAAAAAAAACATGGATTTATTGCATTTTGGGGAAAAAAATAATCCGTTTTTATAAAAAATCTTTGAAAATCAAAACCTGGATTTAATTTTTTTTTGTTATTATGACCTACAAATGCAATGTGAAAGTTTGAAACAGAAAATAGTGGTTTTCATCTTTCTACTTTCTTGGTAAAGAAAACACATTTTTACTCAAATCAATCTAAATGGATTTATTGCGTTTTGGAACCAAACTCTTCATTTCTTTCCCATAGCGTCAACGCATGACGCAGTGTATATTTTCACTTTGAAAAGGAACGTATCAGGTTACGAATGTAACTTTGGTTCCCTGAGAAGGGGAACAAGACACTGCGTCATGTTGCCATACTTCAGGCACGCCATCATGTCTCTCTTCAGACAATCTGAAGTTGATGACATGTTCCTTGTGCGCCCTTTTATAGTGTGCCGATGCGCCTGTGACGTCATCTCTTGTAGTCAATCGGGTTTGCCATGTAGCACACGTGCTTCAGACACAAGATCAAGCTGGAGGCGTTCCCATAGCATGAACGCATAAGAGTTCCCCTTCTCAGAGAACTAAGGTTACAACATCAACTTGAGTTTTTTTTAAGGATTGTTTGATGAATAGAAAGTTCAAAAGAACATTTTAAATATTTGTTGTAACAATGCGAGTATTACTGTCACTTTGGATCAATTTAATGCATCCTAGAATGTTAATTTCTTAAAAGATATTGTACAGATATTGAACTACAAATATGTATGCATTTCTAGCCATTTACCTCGATTCTCTTCTCTGTGACGATGCAGACCATTTGTTTAATAAAAATAAAACAAAAATACAATACTAAACCCAGAGGTTGTAATGATAAACTTTTATTGTGAATATACTGTATTTGCACAAGAATTACACATTTGTAAACTTTACAAACATTTTTGTTTTATTTGTTGAACAACATTATTGTACAAATGTATACAAAATTGTTTCAGGCGTGTCAGTTTCCACAAAAGAAATATATATATATACTGTATATATATATATAGTTGTAAGCACAACCAGGTGAGGTGGGCGGGGCTTTGGAGGCACATACCACGCCCCTCCCCACCATTGAACACAAATCAAAGAGTGACTTCGATACACACTCAGGAAAAGAAGCGCAACCTCAGAGAAAACTTTCCGGCACACTGAGCACCAACACCAGTAAATACGTTCAGTAGCACAGACACAAGGTAGCCCTATGTGACAGCACAGCAGCTGAGAGCAGCATTCAGAAAACATAATAAGTACACACAACCGATTCCTCTTTACATGAGGGGGGGGGCATGTCTATACACGTCTAACATTTCATGCGAGGGTCGAAATGTCAAAGAGCATTGCGGGAGCACCGTGCCAACCTGAACACACTTCAATTGTCTATCCCCTCTTATGTAAAGTGGAATGTTTTTTATTAAAACAGATTTTCATTTGGACTTGGGAGTGTCTGGTTTTCACTACTTTTTTTCTTTTTTTTTTAATGGATCCACAATACAGTCTTAAAAATAAAGGTTATTGGCATCAATGGTTCCATGAAGAACCTTCAACATTCATGAAACCTTTTCCATTTCATTTCTTTATAGTGGAAAAAGGTTCTTTAGATTTTTTTTAAATGTTCTTCACACTAAGAAAAAAAAAAAAGAACTGTTCACTGAAAGATTCTTTGGTGAACCAAAAATAGTTCTTCTACCTTTGGAACCTTTATTTTTAAGAGTGAAGCAATTTTCCTTTTTTTGTAATATTAAAAGTAAAAAAAATCAGCTTCTTGAACTCCACCATGATGGAGAACATATGAAAACACTTTTTTTTGCAGCAAGCCAATAAAATTCCCAGCTGAATGCTACTTTTAAGTAATTCGCTCTTCTTGACTAACCATGTAGGCACTGCCAGATTTTGAGTTTTTAGTTTTAACATAATCATGTCATTAACCTGTTTCATGTTTTGCGGACGTTCTTCATCGGACATGGCATGGGATCAATTTGCGTTCAAACGGCCTCTGCGGGGTTTGTGTATATTTCACTGGCGTTTTAAACATGGTGTAGTTTGTAAAGAGGGGAGTTAGTTTAGCTCTCTTGGATCAAATCACATCTCGCAACGTCGTTTGGTGAGGTATTTAAATGTTACATCCTATGGCCTCCACCTCAGGCCTGAGATGAGAAATCCAGACCCCGAAAAGCCTCCGAGGGGTCCAAAACGTCTGTAATGATTCATAAATGCACTGCATATTTAGGTCTGTAACTCAATGCTACATCAGTGAAGACAGAAAGAACAATTAATCTCATTCCGGAGGAAAAAGTCTGACGTGGACTCACAGGTGCGAGCGATATTTCGCGGACATCCAGTAAACTAAACACACACTTTATTTCAGATCTATCTCGTGCTTTTTATAATATTTCATTCTCATTTGGAAATCACCACGACATTAAACCTTCCGCCTTTAAATTCAGTTGCACTTAATATTTTCACTGTAGAATTACGTCACTTTAACAGCCTCCTCATCATAAAGGCTACAACAAAGAAATAAAAAAATCTATTTAAGCTCCATACAGTCTAATAAAGCCATCATAATTTTTTTTTTTTTTTGCATGAATAAAAAGCCATAGAACTCATGCAAACACTGATTGTATGTTTATATTTTAAAATAGACGTCAAATGTTAAAACACCTCTGAAACGTAGAGAGAAGCATGTTCTTTTATTCCAGGATACTTGGCCTTTGGATTAGGATGGATAAGTATTTCATTTTTCATAGCTCGAGGCATTGCTGTTGGTATGTCGTCTTCTTCCAGAACATTCAAAAGGAACATGGAAATGTTCCCCATTGGCTATAGTTTTGATTGATATCACAATCTCATACATGGACTTTCTATCATAAAGCTAAATAAATAAATAAAATAAACATACATTCAACCATCTTAAACGCACATTTCTCCAGGGTTTAACATTTTTATAACCTGTCATGTGCTGTGTTTTGGCATAGTGGTTCAACATGTGGATGTAATATCTGACACGCTTGTGATATCATGTCTGTCATGCTGGAACAAAATCTGACAGATGAAGTATCTGGATGACATACAGTAAAACACACAATCGTTTGATAGCAGGGGCCCAGAAGACAGGATGGGGATGGTAACAAAGCACATTCAACATCCTCTGGACCCTTGGACGCGAGCGTGTGACTTTTGACACAACAAAAAAAAGGATTTGGTACACTTATTGGAGCCTGTTCAGTCTTTTAGAGCAGTCTGCATTTCGCATCAGATGATGCACTGCTCAAGTGTGGTTTGATCACACAATGAATCTTTCCGTAGCGAATCATGACATTCAACATGGCACTTTTTCTCCAACGATTATATCAGATGCTTACAGTTTTCTTTAAAGATAAAGTTATCTGGTGATCTCAGAGAAGTTTAAAATTAGCAAAAAAAGAACTCTAAGCCAAAAGAGCAAAAAAACAATACAATTTGCACAAATTAAAAACCATACAGGGTAAATCTCACAAAAACTGCAAAAGAAATTTCCAGGTCATATACCATCCCATAAATATATATATATATATATATATATATATATATATATATATATATATGAAATTATCTTCTGTATAAATTTAACATAGTATTTTTTGTGACTATTTTCATAACAATAGATTCTCGCTACTTATTCTCATTACTGTAATAAATTATTTCAAATGATATAAATAAACTAAAATGTGTAAAGCTAAAATGTATTTGTGTGTGTGTATATATATACACTATTTATATACTTATTTTATAGATTTATTTTTTGGGGGGAGGGGTGAAATGTGACCTACAAATTTCTTCATGAGATTTCCCCTACTGCACATAGCAAAGAAATCAAAGAACATAAAATAAGAAAAAACAGCCCTCTATAGGCCTAAAGGGCTTGAGTGTGACATCACTGACCTACTACTGGTGCAAAGCTCACTTCGAGCTGAATTCATAATGAGCTCCAGAGCTGAACAGTCTTTCCTGTACCGTTAAACCCTGCTTCAGATCCAGGCTGGTGCTAGGAGCCGTCTCTGACCACATTGTTTACACATTATTTAAGCCTGTTTGTGGCACTAAACATTTTGCATGAATCATTTTTGTGATCATAATGTGGCTCTGTTGCGAGGTCAAGAAAAAATAAATAAAATAAGAGCATATACAGTATCTGTCTCTCGTGTCTGACTGTGTTGCCGTTTCTGGTTGGTCTGAGAGGACAGAATTTGGCAGTGAGTTGATGAGCCGTGTCAATTTTACAGTAGTTCTGTATCTGCGTTAGTCAAATTGTTTTGGGTTGACTAACGGACAATCTTAGATTGTATAGTCGAAGTGTGGTTATTTTGTGATCAAGTGGTCTGTATAGTAAGCAGTTCAGTCAGTAGTTGTTTTTTCTAGTCTGTAGATTCGCTCTGGTCAGGACAAATATGTTCTGGTTCCAGTAAGCAGCCAGAGTAGAAGGAGCTGAAGAGCCATCATCATCCAGAGAGACGGACTCAAACTGCAGCCTCCACCACAGTCAGTCGCGTCCTCCTGCGGTCAATACAGAGATGTTAGGGACTTCTACCTCACACAAACATAAGACCATACTATAGGCGGGTAATTTCAGTTCAGATGGTTAAGGGTTTCTAAATTAGTTTTAAAACATGGCATCTGGTTTGTTGCTGGTTCAAGGTGGTCTACCGACTTTAACCAGTGTTGTTATTGGTAACTAAAACTAAAATTATTAAAAACCATTTTAGTTAATTGAAATAACACTGAAATAATATTTGATATGAATACTTATACATATATAACCTTTATTAGAAATGTTAGAGATGTTGCCTTGGCACCTAACTGAAATAAAGTTTATGTTAAAGTACTAAAATTACTACAACTAAAACTGAAATAAAAATAAATTAAAGCTAAATAGAAATACTATTTATAATAAAAATAATAATACTAATAATAAATGACAAAAGTAATATTAAAACAACACTAAGAATAAGAATATCATCAGTTGAGAGCCCAGGTAATCAACCACCTAGAACATTTTTAACCAGTTAATAACCAAAAATGACCAGCTTGGTCCAGTGTTATTTGAGTATCATAAGTTATGTTTCCATCCACCTATTTTATGCGCAATGTGGGATATTGCATTGCAAAGACGTTGGATGGAAAAGACAATATGCGTGTAAATTCTAAAAAATGTACATACAAAGCTTTATCTGATAAGAAGGCATGCACATAAATTATGATGGAAACACATTTAGTGAATAAATCCATTGATGCGCAACAAAAAACTCTAACTTTGCCTCAACAGTGGATGTGATTGGATAACTGGACGCACTAGCTGCCCGATTTAATTGCATAGCATCTCAAATGTTGGTTTAATCAATCTATCAAGTCTGTCATCAAAACGATTTGGTAGAATGACCTCCCAGAGGTCTCTCACATGATTGCTTTCCCAAACACAAGGCATCCGAACAAAGTCATTTATGTTAAAGGAAAAAAGATCCACAGCTTCCCAGATTGCAGCAACTTTCATTTTTATTACAGATATTTTGCTCCAATTTCCCAGGAAGTGACAATTTTGTTATCTTGAACACATGGGATGGAAATGCTGCTTTTATTCACAAATGTTTTATGCAATATTACAATTACTGTATTTATACTGTATAAAATATTACTGTAGTAATATAAGTATAACTTATGCATGATGACATGCAACTAACCCTAAATCAAACCAAACCCTAAACTAACCCTATATAAAGTTCATGCAGTTAATTATTATTACTCAGTACTTAAATGTATAATTACACTGTAACACAGGCACCTTAAAAAAAGTGTAACCATAATTGTTTTAATATATATAGGCCTATATATATATATATAGTTATTATTCATTTGTATTTCAGTTTTAGTTATTTTAGTTCATCAAGTTAAAAATGAGAAATGTTGCTTTAACGACTTTCTGAAATAAAACAAGTTTACATTTTAATACTTATTTCAGTTACCATTTATTTTATTTCAAGTAACAATTATTTTATGGTTTTAGTTGACTATAATAATCCTAGCTTAGAAGAGCTCGAAACCAAGTAAAACCTAGAACCATAAAGCATTCAACTCAATCAAAACACAGTCTATGTGTAATGAAAAGTGAATATCAAAACATGTTTTGGCTGAACTGAGGAGGGAATGAATCAAATCAATGGCACGCATGCAAAAAGTCCTGCTGTAGAAATAATGCACAACTCTGACTGACAGTCTACGTGCTGGTCTTCTGAAACAAGGCTCGCATGCTATACTGTGCATGGAGGGCGTGCCAATGAAAGTCCTGGGATGCCCCAGGTTTGAGAGACATGGGGCGTATTATCAATGCTACTGTCAAAAGGACGGAAACCCATCTGGAGCTTCCTATGTTTATTCCACAGAAAATCTCTCAGGGAACTAGCTGAAAATGCACTTCCTACTTTCACAGCAGGAGGAAAGCAGTGGCATCCTGCCTAAAAGTCCATATTGAGGCATTGAGTAAACAATACAGGGCATTTTAACCCTTATATGATAAGCAGATATTAGCGAAAGTCTAGCAATGCTACAATGGGGTGGAGAACATAAAGCTATTTTTGACACACTGTTTAAATGAGGAAACAGCAAAACGAGATGCAACTGACCATCAAACACAAAGCAGAAGCAGCAGCAAAATGATGGATGGGTAATAGGTCAAAGAAGAGGAGCCACTGATTCGACACAAAGGCTCCTCCTAGCAGTGACGGGCATGATGAGCAGCCAATGAGCATTCAACGTGCAAACAGAAAGGAAATTAACGTTAGCTTAAAAAAAGGACAAAAAAAAAAAAAAAAAAAAGTAGTGAATGATAAAGATGATTTTTTGGTTTAAACATACGTCTACGTTGTTGTCGAAGCAGACGTCCGGTCCTTTCCTGTACCGAGGGTTCTGGGCCAGCACACATGGGTCAGGACCAGTAGCTGAAACAAATCTATAAGGAAAATAGCTGGAACTTCAAAACAAATGTAATTATCTCAGTCTTAAGGCTCCGATATTCTCACGGCAAAGTTCTTTTTCAGTCTTCACTTAGGGGTAAATAGAAGTTCGAAATACATGAGCAGCGGTGTACTGTCAACGAAGACGTTGGGAAACAATGCATACATTTAAGGATACAGGGCTGTTCGGCTTGTCTCAGTGGTTTGGGATCGCAGGAGAGGCAGGAACTCTTTGCATCAGAGATTAAAAACACCAAATTCGTGTTAGGGAGCTTCTCCGCCCGGTACATTCTTAAAAAAAGAAAAGAAAAGGGGATTAAGACACAAACACAGCTCTCACAGGAACAGATTATAATGTAAGACTATATTATATTATATTAGATTATATTGTAAGTCATGGTTTATACATATCTAAACTAAGCAGACATTTGCGTAAGAGAGACCACCCATGTATGACATTTAACGGAAGGAACAGTAAACATAAGCAAGTAGGTATAAAAGGCGGTACGCGCACTCAAAACATTACGCACAAGTCAGCATAAGCTCTTTGTCAGGAATCAATTATACACGTCTTACATATCCAAAACCGTCCCCACATGTGTGGAAGTCTTTAGTAAGTGTAACAAGAGATGAGTGTATTATATTGGAAATCTGCGTCGGTTGGCAGCTTGTTACGCACTGTCATCACCGAACGAGTTTCAGCCATGACTTTTCTTTATAGCATTCTCTTGTTCTCTTTTACGGCTCCCCCCCTCCCCTTAAAACAGAGTGACACGGGTTTTTGCACCGGCCTGTGCACATGTAAACGTATATATAGGGATGTGTGCGTTAAAGCTCTGTGTTACACATCACCTGCTCTCTCAGTAATCACAGGCTGTTTACTGCTACCCAGCATGCTCGGCGGTGCATAACGAGCCTCAGATCATAGCGGCCATCAGGGTCACACTCACACAAACACACATGCCAACACACACACACGGAGAGCTTGATGATCACAGAGAAGCATGGAGTCCTAAAGTTCAGTGGCTCACATCTGTCTGCCCTCTGAGAAATGCTTTATTCATGAGAGCATGAGGTTATAAGAGCACAGAGGAGTGTTTCAGGTGGGTTTATGTGGTCTCCATGAAAAACATCCTGTGAGAAACTGTAGCGGTGTTTCAAAACCTAGTGAGCTGCATACCTAGATGGCATTTTAAAGGGATAGTTCACCCAAAAATGAACATTCTGTCATCATTTTCATTTTTGTTGCATCAAATGTGTATGATTTTCTTCTGGCAAGACACAAAATATGACATTTTGAAGAATTGGTTTTTGAACTGTTTTTGTCCACATAATGAAAGTCAATGAGGTACAATACTGTTTTGGATCACATTGACTTTCATTATATGGACAAAAAGTGTTGAAACATTCTTGATATATTATTTTTTGTGTATCAAAGAAAGAAAGACACACACGCACGCACGCACACACAAACTGGACAAAATTGCTTGATTCTGTATTTTTTTTATAAAACAAATCCAGAATATACACTACCATTTTTTCAAATTTTTTTTTTGAATACATCTATTCAGCAATTAAATTGCATTAAAATGTTATAAAATATTTCTATTAGAAATAAATACAGTTCTTTTGAACTTTCCATCCATGAAAGAATGCTGACAATTGTAACAAGGTTTAAAATGTATTAAGCAGCACAACTGTTTTCAACACTGCTAGTAATAAGAAATATTTCCTGAGCAGCAAATCAGCTTATTAGAATGATTTCTGGAGGATCATGTGACACGGAAGACTGGAGTAATGATGCTGAAAATTCAGCTTTGCAATCATAGGAATAAATTACATTTTAAAATATAGTAAAATATTTTAAGCAGTTATTTTAAATAACTATAATATTTTAATAATAATATTTTCACAATATTACTGTTTTTACTGTATTTTTTGGTCAGACTTCTTTGAAAATCTTATTTTTTTTTAATTGTACTGATCCCACTTTTGAATGGTAGTTTCACAAAACTAGCATATATTGCAGTCTTTATATGGTGGAATTTAATTGTCATCGAAGCGCAACAAAATAAAAAATTGTATTTTAGTACAAACATTATTGTGCACCAGGTAAATAACATTGAAAACGTTATATAGATATATTTTCTATGTATTCTAAGTAGTTTAAATTTGGGGTTTTGATGTAAAAACCGTATTCTGTAGAAAAACTGAAATACACATTATTCTGATTGTCATTTTAATGAATTAATGTACCAAACACTTATTTTATTTATTTAAAAAGGAATCATTAATTATTGACATTAAATGATCAGATCTACTGAACTTCTTGCACTTCGCCAGTCGGTCGAAGCTGTTTGTTTGTTGCCTAAGGTGTTAATTCAGTATCGATAAAACAGGACCAGAAAATGGTACTGTACTCAAAAAGCCGAAATTTCAATATTGATCCAACCCTAGAGTCTATGTAGGCAGTAGACAGCACGGCAGCACACTAGGGTTACAAAACAGAGGCATTATATAACCTCTGAGAAGAGTTAGTTGTCCAAAAAAATCTGTAGGGCTGAGTGAGGACAACCAGACCTCAGATAACTAATGCAAAAATCTGAAGAAATATGACTTTAATAATGGAAAAAAGTATAATTTGATGTAGTCTCCTTGATGTTCTGTTTAAGACATCCTTATGCTGGCAATTCCAGCAGTTCTCTCATCAGTACATGCGTTCCTTTAGACTGATCTGGTGTTGATGTCTCTCTGAGCAAGATTGAATTACATATGCCGAAGCTCAGGTCTTGAGCTCCTGAGCTCTCACAAATGGATTTCTCTTTATGGCTCTTGTTAAACTTTACATGTCTAAAGTAGTTAACATGGAAGAAAAACTATCGTACGCAGAGTCACACGTGGGGCTCGTAAAAAAGGCGTAGAGTTTCTGTCAGGCCGAGCGCCCCCACCCACCCCAACACGTTCTGCTTTAGCGGTGTTACATTAAACAGCACGGCCGGCGGGATTTACAGCCGGCTGGACGTCGGGTGGATCTGGAGAACGAGGGGACGGAGGAGAAAGGAGAAGGGAAAGCTGAGCTGCTCGATCCTTGGAGGGATGACTTACCGGGATGAGCAATTATCCAGGAAGAGACAGAAAGAGAGCGCTGACATCATCTGCACATGCTCACACGCACTCCCACACGCACACGGATGGAGGGAATGCGGATGGATTTATGCACGTACAAACATAAAAACAGTCCTCACCTGGAGCAGTTTCCACAGTCCATCGCTCCAGAGAAAGATTTGTTCTCGTTCTCAAAGAAATACTGAGTCTGTTCGGTGATACAGCTCTCTTTGGAGAACGCATCCGAGAGGTCATCCTCCGAGTATGCTGAAAACACACAAACGCACCATCCGCATACTGTAAATATCAAAACACGCATGAGGATCAACAGCCTACATATCAGGAACACTCACAAATTACATTTTGGATGCTTGTTCAATTTAGTTAAAATTACTGCATCAATTCATTTTGCATGAAATCAATTTACATTTGTACAATCGAAGTTCACTTAATCCATGCGTTTTAACTTGTGATGGGAATGTTTTATGTAATGGCTTTAGAAGGGGTCAAAAGGGTATTGCAACATGGAATGTTAAGAAAAGTGCAGACTAAGGGGCCGTTCACACAGAAAGCGTTGTTTTACTTCCGGAACCCGACTGTTGCACTGGATAGCATTACCCAATGGTCTGTGTAGCCTAAATGACATCATCAGGAAAAGACAGTTTTTAGAAAAAGACCAAATGATTATTATCATATGATTATGATTTAATCATAAAAAACAGTATTGAATTGCTTATAATAAGATAATGTAAGGCTGCTCAATTTATTGAAGAAAAAAAAAATGTGTTACTTAAAATGTGATTTTACATGATTACAAATTACATGATATATATATATATATATATATATATATACGTATGTTCATATATATATACATACACTACATGGATGAATGTTAAATATTTGTGTGTATACACTATATATTGTGCTGAACCAAAGTTACTTTTTCAATGCATTCTAATAGACAAAACTCAACACATGTAAGTTTGTAAAACAAGACTAGAATAATTAAAACATTTCTCGATTTTAAACATCAAAAGTTCCTCGAATGCAGAAAGATGAGCCAGAATTCCCTCACTTTAACACTTAACATACCTGTGCCCATGACATTTGGGAGAGTCAGACTGAGGAGAAGCTGCTGCAAAATTGTCCTAAGAGGGAGACAGTGACAAACAAATGTGAACATCCACCTCACAATTCTATCCTTCATCTGTCTATTTTTCAGCATGCAGTGTCTATTTCTTATTACCAGACCGCAGTGGAGGCCCACCAGCCTACAGTTAGCATATCTGCTATCGTTGGCTGCCAAAAGCAAACACAAATATAGATGCGGCAGTTAATACAGACACACAATCAAAACTTTTGACTTTCAGAAGTCCCTACAGTACATGATGGTTTTCTAAAGAAATTGCCAATATAAACTTCATTACCACGTATATAGAACGGGGTCCTGCAGCAGCTTTCGTTTCTCTCTCTGGGTCACAGACGGACTGGTAGTCGTAGGTTTTATTAAAGGAGAACAGCGAAGAGTTGACCAGAGTGATCATCAAAACAGGGTCCACTTCACCAAAGAACTGACCAATCTGTAAATCAGAGTGAACATATGAAAAAGACTCCTTTATGTGACTGTTAACATACAGTATTCCTGGAGCTGGCATTAAAATAGCAAAAAGAATCAATTAGCCTTGTAAATATATTCTACCTGCGTGATATAATCATCCTGATTGGACATGAGCAGAAAGCCGCCATCATCCAGAATCACACAGTCCACTTGCTGAGGAGTAAAAACAGCCATTCATCAGAAAGCGAGAGTGAAAGCAGCATCAGATAAGTGACTACAGAGGTCAGAGCAGCATGAGGCAGTCAGCGCCCTACCTTATCATTCCTGAGGCACCCACAGATCTCATCCTTGCACTGCGGAGAGGAAATTATGTGAGGAGAGAACTGAGAATTCATGAAACAAGCCTTTAACAACGACTATTGGAGCGAGTCAATTCATCTCCGCTCTCAGACGGCAATATCGGCCCATCTAGAGAGGCTGCGTTTGTGACTAAACAGCTTCCACATGTGCCGATAAGGAAAAGGGGTCATTTCTGCTTACATTTTTCTTGGTGGTAGCGTTTATGAAGCTGTTCATCCAGGCCGACACGTTGAGTTTGACTCCCACCACTGTATGATAACATAAAACACATCTGTGATGAAATCTTATTCATGCAAGGACAAAAAAAAAAAAGAAGAAGAAGATAAAATGTAGATGATGAGAAGGAGCTATAGGGTCAGGCCTTGATGAGCACAAAGTTCTGAGATGAATTTATTAGTCACAACATTTGCTAGTCATCAGTGACGAATCATAAAAACACAAACAAAATTATTTTTGTAAGAACTACCAATTTTTTTTTAAAAACACATACTGGTGACTTTACTATGACAAACCTTTTTACTATCGGTGGAAATCCTTGATAATTCAGTATAAACAGATCAATTAAGACAAAATGTGTTGTAAGATTTTACACTTTTTATTTCAAAGAAAACAATCACAGTGTTCAAAGGTTCAGGGCCTGATATATATATATATATATATATATATATATATTTATATATATATATTTGGTAACACTTTAAAATAAGGTTCCATTAGTTAACATTAGTTAATGCATTAGTTAACATGAACAACATCTCTGTTCAGCATTATTTAATATTTGTTAACGTTAACTCACACATGTACTAATGCATCAATTCACATCAACAGCACGGTTAGTTAACATTATGCATTAGTTAACATGAACTAACCATGAACAGTGCCTGTAAATAGCTTTACTGTTTTGTAAGGTTAACTTACTGTACATATTTACATTCGTTTATGTAGCAGTTGACACACACTAAGTATGACCATTTCTAACTCACCATGTTACCCTAAATGTAAATATAGGCCTATATATATATATATATATATATATGGTATTGATTTGTTGGTAAACATAATTCTACAGCGGAAAACTAAATTAGTACACATCAGTTAATGTTGAAATAGTGTACACTTTACAATAAGGTTTATAAATTCCATTAATAAATGCTTTATTAATGGTAATTAATGTTAATAAAGAGTCTACAAATGTTAGTAACACATCAGTTAATGTTGAAATAGTGTACACTTTTCACTAAATCCATATACGTATTTGAATGTAAGTAATGATAGTAAAGTGCGTATAAACATGAACAACGTTTGTTTTCCGCTGTAGAATTATGTTTACCAACAAATCAATGCCTTATGAAAGAGTGTTGATAAGGTACACAACAGTATTTTTACATTTAGGGTATGGCGAGTTAGAAATGTTCTTTCTTAGTGTGTGTCAACTGCTACGTAAACTAATGTAAATATGTACAGTAAGTTAACCTTAAAAAACAGTAAAGCTATTTACAGGCATTGTTCATGGTTAGTTCATGTTAACTAATGCATTAACTAATGTTAACTAACCGTGCTGTTAATGTGAATTGATGCATTAGTACATGTGTGAGTTAACGTTAACAAATATGAACTAATGCTGAACAGAGGTGTTGTTCATGGTTAGTTATTGTTAACTAATGCATTAACTAATGTTAACTAATGGAACCTTATTGTAAAATGTTACCATATATATATATATATATATATATATATAAAGTGATATGCTTACCAAAGCTGCATTTATTTGGTCAAAAATACAGTAAAAACAGTAATATTGTGAGATATTATTACAATTTAAGTAAGTGTTTTCTATTTTGTTAAATGTTAAAATGCAATTTATTCCTGTGAATTTTCAGCATCATTACTCCAGTCTTCAGTAATCTTTTTAATATGCTGATTTGCTGCTCAAGAAACATTTCTTATTATTATCAATGTTGAAAACTGTTGTGCTGCTTAATATTTTGGTGAAAACCAAAAGATAAACAACCAAAAAACAGGATTCTTTGATGAATAGAAAGGTCAAACCAACAGCATTTATTTGAAATAGAAATAATTTGTTGCTCTGTCATGTTTGACCATTTTAACACATCATTGTTGAAAAGTATTCATTCATTCATTCATTCATCAATCAATCATACTGACTGCAAAATTCTGACCGGTAGTGTAACTGGATTTTAAGAGCTCACCAGCAGGTTTGAGTTTTGCTCCATTAATGTCCAAGTCCACTGCTTTACTGACAAGGATACCAGACTCATAACCAGACTCTCTGCTCTCTGTTGTAAGGGAAAAGATTACACAAATGCAGAACAATAAATTGCATTAACCAAAAAGGTTGGATTGACTCTCTGCTACATTTAACTAATCCGCAAGCAAGCAATGTTTTAGTTTCTAAATGCTGTTGATGCAATTCATCTGGTAACACCTGCCAAGGTAGACATGCTACATCTGATACCCAAATGTTTGAGAGAGATCTGTAAGGGTTTCAGTCTGCTTTCACCATTAGCTTAAATGGTAAAACCTCCCATAAACACAAGGACCAGGCGTTCCCCTGGGGTTGTTTCTTGGCGCATGGGTGCTTCTCGACCGTGTGTGTATTAGACCTGCAGACCACACGTGCGTGAATGTGAGGTAGTCTCATTGAATGGTAATCCCCCAGTAATATAAACTTACTCGACCTTGGCAAGAGATCTGTAGGTGCGCATTTCGAGTAGATCAACAGCTGTCTTAGTAAAGCAGAGTGCCAAAGAGAGCATGCATCTTTACAAAAGTTATAGAGTGGACGTGTACTGTAAGTGTGTGTGTTTCTTACTGTTGATGTATGGGGCAGTGAAGATGTATATGTCATTGTCCAGATTCCTTTTGTAAAAACTTGAGTCATAGGTCTCAGAGTTTTCACCCCATTCTTCCCCAGCACTGAGAAAGAGACGAAGGCAAGAGGAACACCCAAATTAAGAAACATTTCAAACAAAATGCAGAATCAATCATTTCAATAATGAACAAAAGCAATATGTAATGATTGAACTCAAGAATGCACAAGCCAAAAATCATACATGAATGCATAAAGGGAAAGACTTGTAGTGGATTTAATGGTTTTTAATAAAAGGCATTCTGTTATTATCCTTATAGTCGGTGTAATAAAATCATACAAAATAAAAGATTAAAAATATTTTAAAAAGTTGACTTGAATTTGTTTGTTTCAATTCCCATGTAAAATAAATAAATTCGATATAACTAATTATAACTAACTAACGTGCAAATTACATTGCTGAGGCTTACATACAATATCTATATGAGGAACACATGGAATATCAAGGAATTATTATTTTTTTTTATTAAAAAGAATACTTTTTTTAATAAAAAATAATAGATCAATTATAAATAAAATAAATTACACCATATCAAGTCAATAAAACTATGGATTCTAGGGTAAAGCAATAAAGGAAGCAATGTGTGGACATTAATCTCTACTATAAGTATTACAAATACAGCATATCAAGGAATTACACAATTACTTTTTTTATATAAAATAAAATAAAGCAACAGTTCTCAGACATGTCAGTCAAAACATAATTTATTTTCCCCCCATGAAACACAAAATAATATGATTAGCAGTAATTGGTGCTGTGAAGCTCCAAAAAAAAAAAGACTTTTGTCTTTTGTGCTTTAAGTTGAGTAAATATGAACTGTGAATAAGTGCACTGCTGTAGCTTCTTTAACACTGGCCTGCTGTTTTACACCTCCAGACTAAGTTTATGAACTCAAGCACTCAATGTTATAGATTTAAGCTAATAAAGACAGGAGAGAGAGTGGGAGCTGCACATGGCTCCCATAAGAAATCTCAAAAGAGTCCCTCTGTACCAGAAACATCCTCTGAAACATGCCTTTTCACTCTTTCTTTCGGTCTCAACCGCAGACCCCTGCGGGGATTGCCGACAGAGGAAAGATTGTAAAGAATTTAGCATCTCTCACACACACATGCACACATGGGGATGGAGAGATGCACATATTTCACACAACGGTGAATGGAACTTACCTTTTAGGATACACACGTGTAATGCCTCCATCTGTAGTCACAAACCGGGCCAAAACTCCATCTCTAATAGAAAAAAAATAATAATACATCAGCTATGTTTTAGTTTAGAATTTTCTGAAAGACCATAAACAGACTAGCTTTACACCTGTGAGTGTTTTATTCAGGTATTTATATCGTTAAATTCAATTACTTCAAGGACATTCCAATCAAACAACATATTCAGCCTCCTATTCGAACAAAAAGAGAACAATGTTATATTAAGGTCATTCTTTAGTGTAAAAAAATTAATTGAAACACCATTTGTTTAATTGAAAACACTATTTTGACAATGTCTATTGTGTTTTTGGACTCCCAGATGGTCGGGTTCTTTAATCCTGGTTATAATTGCTAGACTCTCGAGTTTGCTTTTGACATTAAGACAGCATTCTTATTCATGACATGACTTTAAATAGAGCTTTGTGTTCAGCAGTTATATGAAGGCGTCTCTCTGTCTTCTCTGGAGATCTTTGTACTTGAAACCTCGAGACATTTCACACAGACATAGATGAGTGTTTTATGTTGTTCCATGTGTGTGTTTTGTCCTAGACTTACACACTCTGCTCCTTCCAGACTTTGACGAGGTCCGCCGTGAGACCGGCATCCAGCAGCAATCGGTTTACAAGAGTGACGTTACCTGACAAATACAGACAGAGAGAAAGAAAAGTCTTTATAGTTGATATTTTGGATTATGTCATGGAAAACAGGATTCTCCTTGTTCAAACTTCATTGTCCCAGAATATGGTCTACTAGTTGACTGATTTGAGCTTGTCAGAGGCTGATACAGATTTAAACAAATTGTTGAAATTAAATTATACTCTACCGAATATTTATTCAAAATTCACTAGAAATTTTTAAACAGAAATTGTTTGTCAGTCTAATAGTGGATATATGTTACATCCGCCAGCTGGAGTGCCCATGATCTCCACCAGAGGGCACTCCTCCCGTCTCATTGGCTTTACCATCATGAACTGCATTTCCCATAACCCATTGCCTGGACTTATTACGTTTGATTGCTTCCACCCACCTGTGTCTCATTATCTTGTTAATGCCTGCCTATTTAAAGGGATAGTTCACCCAAAAATGAAAATTAAGTCATTAATTACTCACCCTAATGTTGTTCCAACCCCGTAAGACCTTCGTTCATCTTCGGAACATAAATGAAGATATTTTTAATTAAATTTGAGAGCTAGATCACTGCTACATAGGCTTCTTAAGGGATAGAAACTTGACGGCCCAGAAAGTCATTGAAAATGACATGCGCGAGAACTGAGAAGAGGACGTTCTTCTTCTACTACTTCTTGTTCAGTTCTCGCGCATGAGTCGTGGAAATCTCTTGAACTCTCGTCTCAGGCCCACAAGGAAGAAAAGGAATAGTCGAATAAAGTCGTTATTTTTGTGTTTTTTTCCGCACAAAAAGTATTCTCGTCGCTTGATAAACTTATTGTTGAGCCACTGTAGTCACATGGAATATTTAAACTTTTTCTTCAATGACTTTCTGGGCCGTCAAGTTTCAATCCCTTATGAAGCCTATGTAGCAGTGATCCAGCTCTCAAATTTAATAAAAAATATCTTCATTTGTGTTCCGAAGATGAACGAAGGTCTTACGGGGTTGGTACAGCATGGGGGTGAGTAATTAATGACTTAATTTTTATTTTTGGGTGAACTATCCCTTTAAGTCCTGTGTCTTTACTCATTCTTTGCAAAGTCTTGTAAGTGTCACATTTCTGAGCGCTCTCCCTCTGGTTACCCATGTTTTGGTTTCGACTTTCTGCCTTGTTTGCCTGTGTTTTTCTGCCCTGTTGTCTTTTTGGATTATCTGCCCCGTGTTTTGAACTATTGCTTGTTTATGGATTATGATTCTGGATTGCCCTAATAAAGCGGCATTTGGATCCACAACTGTGTCTGAGCAGTCCGTGACAATATAGCTCTATATCACAACCATGAATATTAATATATAGCTACCTATTTATTTTCCTTAAAAAAAAAAAAAGCTTAGAGGGAGGATGGACACAGTGGTATGTAAAATTAAACAGCAGTAAAATATATTGTATTTATCACACCTACATTTACAAATGAAAGAGAGGGAAAATATGAAAATAGTCATGTAAAGCTACATTTCCACTTTTATGAGGGAAAAAGCATTACGTGGACTTTTATATATATAAAACAATTATATAATATGGACCTTTAAATGTAAAAGCAACAGTTTGGTGACATGAACATTGCTGAATACTTTTCAGGACAAAAGTAATGCCTATCCGAGTAATCAAAAAGCTAAGTAACATCTTTGGGTGCGTTTGCGTGTGAGCGCTGCAGCGATAGCATCTCTTTACAGAAAACACAGTGAGTCATCACGAGTATGAACATTAGGATGACAGCGGTGGAGTCATTACCGAGCAGACTAATCAATTACAGGCTGATTAAACAGAGCGCTGACAGGGGTCACCTTCACAGACAGCGGGACCGCCCGCCACACACGCTGACATCACTTGAGCGGGAATCAACCTGACTCAGCGCCTAAAAGAGAGTAATCTGAGTCCTCTCACCTCTGATATCATTACATTAATAATGACAGCAGTGGTTTTTACATGCACTATATAATATTATATTTTTATACTATATAATTATATAAATGTAGCGTGATATAGCGGTCCCAAAAAGTATTTGAAACTTAGATGTCTTTGCATTAGATAAAATATCCAGTTGGTTCGATTACAGTTGGTTTGAAGTCACTGCAAAAATGACTCCGAAAACACATACACACTTAACTTTGAACCAATGAGAGTTCACTGAGGGTGTTTCTATGTTCATTTTAATTGAACATTTATATCATACTGCACTACACAATGTGTACTAATTACTATGTATACTAATTTTGCTTTTGATAGGATAGATAGATAGATAGATAGATAGATAGATAGATAGATAGATAGATAGATAGATAGATAGATAGATAGATAGATAGATAGATAGATAGATAGATAGATAGATAGACAGACTCACACATAGGATCATTTGGTGTTTTTCTGTCAATGTACTCATTGAAGTCCATCAGGAACTGTGTGTTGTTGGATGTCACTTTTAGGTCCTTGCAGTATTCCCTGAAAAAAAGTTTAATAATTATTCACAGAAAAAACACAAGTTTGATGACCACAATGAGGCCTGTGCATTTAAGTAGTGTGAAGTTGAGACCAAACATTTTTGCTCCCGCAGTGTCTGTGGGATCCATTGTTAAGGGGAGTAATGTGTGGGTCTGAAGGTGTGAATTTACAGGCCTTCAAAGACCAATGGAGTCTAGATACAAGCCTTATAAACCTGTCACGACTAAACCCTGTGGGAGGTCTGCTGTTTTTGCTTGGTGTGTGTATATAGATGTGTGTGTTACCTGGGTGCAATAAAGGTGTACCCATATTCCTCAAATTTCTCCTGCTGCATGGTCTCAGAGACTACACAGAGAAACAGAAAAAAGACGTGTTTAGACAGATCATATTAAAAATATTCAAAACTATAAAATGACAGTAGTGATAGACCAATATTTCAGCCAACATGTGGCCATTCTGAGATTAGACTGGCATGGACTGGAAAAGTGAAATTCAAGTTAATATGGCATAACAAAATGTTAATTTCATTGTAATGCATGCATACATCCAGCCTTAACTGGTTTAGATGGTCTTGCAGCATGGGCAAGCTGGTCTGCAGCTGGCATCCACAGCTGAAAAAACAACAAAAAACTCTCTAAAACCAGCCAACAGACCAGCCTGGGAGACCACCAAAGACCATCAAAAAAAATTTAGGCTGGTTTGGAGGGAAATCAAATATATCTTTCAGAATTATATCCACCATGCCAATCTCTAGTTATCTGTATTAGCATTGGCCATTGCAAAAACCCATATTGGTTGATTGGACAGAACAAATGTTACAGGAGAAACTAAAAAAAAAAAAAAGAAAAAAAAAAAGAATAACATGCAAAATCAATGTAATGTTTACAGATAAAAAAAAAACTGATTTGAAATGCATTCATGAGAAGTAACAGATTATTTTAATTGCACGTATACAGATGTGACATGACTGCTCTGGAATAAAGCAGGAAAAGGTGCATGCAAATGACTTTGAAAATAAAATGGTACAATAACTGACGAATGAAATAAAACGTGAAGATCTTAGAAGAGGAGGGTGCAGTACTTGCCCTTGTTCCCTGTGGTGAAAATCCAACCAATCAGAAAACAAAGAGAAAGACAAAGTTACCACAGTCCATCATAGTCCCAAAAGATGTCCAACATTGTAAACCGGATACTCTGAAAACAGCATTTCATATAAAACATGCACATGGAGACGATGGCGGTTTCAGATTAAGCCAAAGCCTGGACACACAACAAAGACGCGAGTTTGAGATTATAGGCGTGAAGAAATGGATGCAGACAGTCCTTTCCATTCAACACAGAGAGTTACGAGAGGAGTGAGCGGAAAGTTTGGCAGGCATGGTAAAATAATTCTGACGCTTGATGAAAACATCAAATGACATGATAGTTGAACAAATTGGCATGCAGTATTAACGATCAGAAAAAAAAAGGTCAGCCAGTGTTTGGTGAAGTCACATCAGACTCTCTTTGTTCATCAAAGGTGCACAAGCAATCAGTCATTGATGTGAGCCAGTAGATCATCTCAAAAACCAAAACAGAACCAGACCATCTCATCATACAGAAGTTGCTATGTCTAGAAACTTCCGGACTGCACATTTACCAAGCCAAACAAAGGGTTAACCAAAATTTTTGTTAGAACAATGAAAATTGACTGTGAATGTAATGAAATCCTATAAACAAAAAAAGCTAGGCAAAACAACTCAAGACAGTAGCTCAAAATATTCAGATGCATCTAATTATGTCTTAATATATTATTGAGAATTGATAGCCTTTTGTGTGTACACAACATTGTGTTCTTGGCTAATGTTTGAGGCAATTACTTCAGAACGTTGTAAAATCGAATATGATTATGAATCACTAGAGCCAAAAGAACAAGTATAATTTACAGTAGTGCTAGTTCCAATTTACATACTTTCACTAAAGCAATGAGATGCCATGCATTACTGAATTTACTACATATATTCTGGCTAATTTACAATAGCTTCAAATATGGCTAATTGAATAGGATTTTAGAGCCAGGACTATTTTCTTTTCTTTTTTTCAGGGTTCATCAAATCTGGCCCTGGAGGTTCACCATCCTGCAGTTTAAATCCAACCCTAATTAAAAAACACCCAAACAAGCAAATAAAGGTCTTCAGGATTGTTAGAAAGTTATTATAGGCAGGTTAGTTTGATTTGGGTTGGAGCTAAACTCTGCGGGACAGTGGACCTCCAGGGCCAGATTTGAAGAACCCTGTTTTGTTTTATTTAATTTTTCTAGATACCAGAATATCACAGACCCTTGACGGTAGGCTCGTTTGGCTGATAATAAAGGCACCCACAGTCCCACACACTACAAGATAACCAGCCCGATTTTGGACCCAATTCTCCTCTTCCAACAATCCTAATGTCCGACTATTTTGATGGCTCAACAGATTCTTATCAGATTTTCCTGTGGAGTGATGTGTGTTAAATGTGATTGTATCTGCTTGGAAGAACATCAGGGCAGCACTGATCTCAAATCGTAAATATCCAACATGTTGCACACACAAACGCACACACACACACACACTCTGTAGATTGTCACGTGGAACGAAAGAAAATCAGAAAGCGAGCTGAAGGAAGACGGAAGCACAACACAACTTCATCCAAAACTTTTTCTTTTTTTCCAGTGAAAAAACTTTTTTTCTGTAAAAAGCAGTCCAAAATACTATTATCGCCATTTCTTCTTGCTCATTGTCCACCATGTTTGTTTACTCTAAAGTCACGTTTGGCCAGGAGAGATTTTTGCAAGATTTCCTGTGTTCACAGTCAGGACTCTGGTTGTTTGTGAATGGAATTTGTTAGTGTGTGGTGTGCTGTCTTGGTCGCATCGTGGCACTCCACACACTATAGGAACAAAAATAAACTGTTAAATCGATGTTTTTTTTTTTTTTTATCGTCATGTTTGTGGTCTCTCACATTTTGATAATCAGGTAAGATTTTAAAAATCTTTTAGTTGGGCCAGCCTCAAGCAACCACCTGGACTCTAGAAACCACCCATTAATGCCCTAACAATCACCTAGAACACACTTGCAACTGCATAGATACACTTTTAAAACCACCTAAAACTTAACAACGCCCTGGCAACCACCTTTCATCACACCACCGCCGGGCCAAACAGTTCTCATTGCTCAACCGTTCCATTTCATGCAGCTCCAGCCTGGTATGGATTAGGGATGCATCGATCCGATACTCAGTATCGGTATCTGCTCCGATACTGACATTTTTGCCGGATCGGGTATCGGTCAGACGAGGCCGATCCAAATCCAATATTGTGCGTATTATTGTGTTATTGTTAAGCCCCACAAAAGGCACAAAACATTATAAAGCACCATAACGTTTTCGTGCACTATCTTATGTGTTCTGAAGCCATTATATAGTATAATGTGAGATATAAATTAATATTTAAGTCATTAAATTCAAGATCACGTAACCTTTTTCCCTCCACTGCGGCTGTCAGTCATTCTCCATTCAGCATCAAACAGCGCGTCGCGTTCGGTTACGACAGCAACACGATGAAACTCTCTCCAAGATGATTCAGTGTTACTATTATTATACTTGATCTGTAGATAAAGCTCTATGGTTTAGCATAAAACAACTTTATATTGCTGGACTTTATTGCTGTAACTAAATCATGTTACTTTCTACCGGGTGTCTAGATCACAACACTAGAGTAGAGTCAGAGCACTATAATTGTTCTTCACGCGCACAGTAACTGAAATTTAAAACTGTTAAAAGAAAAGGCTCAATAAACTATTGCATAGATAGATACTGTGTATAATACACTACGCATCGATATGTCTTTCCTTTGTGCTTTGAACTTTTCAATGCGGACTCGGAGAGCTGTGACTCCGTGTGGCTTCAAGCACATCATTCTGCGCTCGGGATGCGCATAAGCGCTGTGTGCCGCACTGTATTGGAGTCTTTCATAATCATTCATATCATACTACTTTTGCGCAATGAAAGATTATTAATAGCCTTTCTTGTTCTGTCCTATCTATCATATGTTGCTGCCTCATTAAACAGCTGTGCTATACATTTAAAACATGTCTCAATTTTATAGTAGCATACAGGCTATATATAATAATTTATCTTTTTGATTTTTGTTATCTTGTTTTTCATGAATGTATTTCACAACAATACAAAGAGCAATGTGTAACGTTTGACCAGATTTAGTGTTACACTTATTGTCTCTTATTTGTTCCCCTACATTTTTTTCACTGAATGTTCAGATTTTATACAATTATTGTGCACTCGTGATTTTTCTAGACTAAATTTTACTGCTGAATTATCCACTAATCTAGTTTATAATAGCATTTTTGTCACAGATTATGATCATATATTTTTTGGATTTGTTGTTTTTCTTTAAAATGAAGTTGTCTGTATTAAGTAGATTGTGTTTAACACACAAAAGAGTGATTATCAGTTCAACACAGAGATATAGAAATTCTACTTGATTTAAAAAAAAACTGCACTGGTATCGGATTGGTATCGGTATCGGCCGATACTCAGATTTTTGGTATCGGATCGGATCGGTTTTGAAAAAGCGGTATCGTTGCATCCCTAGTATGGATATGATTTAATTTTCCACTGTAAGGCTGATTATGGAGCTCTTTGGAATATAATACAAATCCGTCAATCATTGCCTTGGTAACGCAAGAGTTTACAGACAATATGAGATGTAAATAGTGGCCACGTTTTGGAGGATGATCAGATATATCTAACTTGATAACTTGAGTTAACTACACTTAAATAGCATGCTTGGCCAGCTACAGACAAGTGACTAATCCTGAGTGGCGATGCAGGGTTGCCAGGACTGCACAAAAAAAATCCAACCAGTTGCTAATCAAAACTACCCAAATCATGGCTACAATTAGCCCAATCGCGTTTCGGGGGGGCCTTCTGAGGGGTCCTTCAAAAAATGCAAAAAATGTTTTTTTTATAGGGAGCATTGTTCAATTAAATCTAGAAACCCTAAACTTAGAGGGAGGCCTTGTCGTCTGCATCTACACACAGGCCATCATTAGCTGTACTCTCGTTATTGCTATTAGGAGAGCTTTTGATCATTAAAAAACAAGGTTTCATCTGCTGATGACAGTAAGGCCCACATAATATGGTCTGTGTGTCTGTGTCAAAACAGGATGGTGTTAGACCCTTGTTTGTGTTCAAATGGGTGTTTGAAGCTTCTGTCCAATGTGTCAATAACTTAAAGACTTCACATCTGCACTGAATTTGCCATCAATATAATTCGCACCATTTCAGATTCTTCTCTTCTCAAACTAACGCATCTCTGATCTCCAACAAACACTTTCTGGGTACTTGGTGAAAAACACATTTGAGGCTAATCAAGCCTAAACAACCAGAACATGTAAGGACCAGTCTAGTCCAGGGTCTGCGGTCCAAGCAGCCAAGTGCATCATCACAGTTTTTGGTTACAACCAGCCGTAAGGACACGTCCCTCGAGAGAACTCCGCGTTCACCTGTTCTTCTCATTATTTGCTCTACACGGCTCCCAAAAGCCACACTTCTCTCGTTCTGCCTGTCTGAAGTTTACATTCGGCTTTCAGCTTTGGTCAAACAAGCCCCGTGGAGCTCTCAAAGCGTGGAATTGGGCTTCTAAGGTATCCAGGAGCACTCTGAAGACCACCGCAAAGACCTAACCTCTGCACCGCTGCCTCTTTCCCCTTTCTCAATAACCATATGGACCTGCCTCTTTACGAGCCTATAAACCTGTGCCAGGATCCTTTACAACAAGAAATGGAGAGAAAGGGAATATAGGGAAGAAGAGAGAGAAAGAGATACCCATATCTGCGGTAGCACAATCCAGAAGACAGAAATATCAGTTTTAGCACATTAACACACACCCAAACACGCTTGCACGTAATAAATTAGATGAACAATTATAACTTGCGCACAAAACATCAAATTCCTGTGAACGCTGGTGCCTCAAGTAGCTGAACGCTACTGCTTACAAGCCACAATATGACCTTCTGTGGCCCCTTCCAGTCTTCCAAACCTGCTTTACTCATTGTTTCACAAGCTTAAATTTCCTTTGTTGGCTTTCTTGCTTGTTATGACTAAAGTTAAAGCTATGTGATCTTACAAAGCACCGTTATGCTAAAATAATGACCCTGATGAACAGTGAGAAGGAGAAAAATGCTTCTGGCTCAGAGCTCTGCATTCTAGTATGATCCTTCTACACGTGCAGTGTTGCAAGAATAAAACTCATTATTCATCTCGCAATCCTTCGCGCCACAGACCTGAATGATACATCAAATCTTACGGCTTGTTGAGGAGAGGTGTGCTATTACTTTTCAAAGAAATTGGGCTTATGATTATCTCATAGATATAAATTAAAGGAGGGACCTGGACCATATCTAGAGACCAGAATATCATAGAGAGATATTGGTGGGGTCTTTTTACTTGAGTCAGTAACCACCCAAGTTCCCCTTAAAGGGATACTTCAGGATTTAGCATTAAGCTTTGTATTAGAAAACCTGCAGTATTTTCAAATTACCATGCTTTCCACCCTCATATCCCCTTGAGACGAGAGATTTCTGTATTTTTTGGCTTGGTAAAAATCCTCCGATGACGCAAAAATCGTCATTTTGCGTCATCGGAGGATTTTTTGGCCAGAGGTTAAAGACTACAGTCAGTAGAAGGAGCTGTTCCGCATGTTTTCAACCCGCCCATAGAGGGTGGGATCTCACTCACAGAATGTACACATAGTGTCAGCCATCTTTTTTTGGAAGCTAAGCTAGCAGGCTCTTGGTCTGTGGAGAAAGCTGAGTAGTAGGGGTTACCATCCTCTTTTTCCTGGACATGTCCGGCCGTCGAGATCGTACAAAATGTCCTGGATTCAGCTTTTGATTTCTGCAGTCGCCATTCATTGTTTACATGCACACCTTTTGTTTCAATCTAACTGAAGTCATTCCGATTGGTGAATCTCAATGTAGCGTTTACATAAACGCTAAACAAGTGATCGGTTGATGTGCGTTTTACCATTGCGGTGCGTCTCACAGGTGTCGCTCATCGGTAATCACGCCACCGGCCTCGCGCCGTTCTCCCGCGGCCCTAGCCTCGTCCTGCTCGCCACAGTAAACATAATGAATGGCGACTGTAGAACGCAAAAGCCGAATCCCGTACATTTTGGGCGATCTCGAAATCCCGGGCAGACTCACCACGGAGACTCACTAGTAGCCTAGACTTGTTGTTTAACTACTGTGCTCTGTTACCGGTAGGCGTGGCCTCCTAGGGCAGCGAAGCAAGTGCATTCTGGGAGTTGTTGTCTTTCATCCACATGAGCCAAAAATACATTTTCTGGCTTTTCTCAGTCTAGAAAGCTCCAAATTCAAAAATAATTTCACATTTCTTCTATATAAATTACCCTTTTAAATACACAATCATCTTTCCAGAGGTGAAGTATCCCTTTAACAACAATTTAGCAATGACCTAGTAACTACTCCGCACACCCTTGTAATGTATAGAAATACCCTGGAAACCACCCAGCAACCGCATATCAACAAGAACCACTCAGAACTAGTGTTGTTATTGACCACGTTCACAAGACAGCAGAATACGGTTGTCAGTCCTGTAGTTTAGTCCTTAATACGGTTACGTTCACACACAGTTCATTCTTGTCGTGTTAAAAGTGATAAGACTTATGGAAGTCACAATCTTTGATATTACTTTGGTCATGGTCACTTTGGTTACTGGTTAGAGAATACAGGCTTGACTCTTGTTGCACGTTCATACAGACAGTATTCAAGACGCTACTGCAAGTTGCTGTGTGAACGGGACATTTCAGGACTCATACCTGTAAATGCGGTTATCAATCCCAAAAACTGACAGTGTGAAATTTCACAAAAATGTCATGGCCCCCAGAATATTTTGTTGTATGAACATACAATATATCAAAAGAAAGAACAGAGCCTCTACTTTATTAAGAAAAGAAAAAAAATCAGAGCAATGATCAAAACATAGATGGAGTAGATCGAGTCCATCAACACCCCCAAAGCTTGAACAGTCCTATATCTCATCCTGTGTCGACATTTAATTTGGTAACATTAAGCAGTTTTGATTTATATGATGTTTAATGTTTGATGAATGCATAATTTTACATTTGCATAAGCAATGCTTCTATCGCATGTTTCTGCTTCTTCTTTGCCTGTGTTTTGATCCGGATATTATGTACTCTTTCAGAAAATGCATTATAGCGCACCATACCATATAAAAGTGAAAATATGGATTGCCGGAAAATTCTGTAAATGACAGGGAAAGAGTTAGGTAAAACAAACTATAAAAAATAAATCTTGGTAATTAAAATAAAGCTGAAATAAAAGAAAATATATTTATTAGAAGAAAATGTCAACTTAAAATACTTAAATGAAAATTATAATATTGACAATTAACTGAAATAAGTTGAAATACTAAAATAACTAAATATAAAATAAAAATAAATTAAAGCTAAATAGAAATAAAAAAACATTTTATAAAAATTACAAAAGCACATAACAAAAATGACTAAACCTTAAATTAAAATGAAAACTTAAAAAAAAAAAAACTAGTACAAAATAGATACTATAATAGTAAAAACAACACTGCTCAGAACAACTTAGCACAAAGCAAAATCCTCGAAGTCAATAAGAATACCCTAGCAATTAGTGCTGGTTTATATTTGCATGGATAATAAAAATTGGAATCTTTTATTTGGACATCTTTTTTAAACATATCTAACTGTGCATGCATGTTTAGACAAGCACCAAACACTGTCAACAATTAATCGACTGATTTTGCACAGACCATGCATAAAAAATGAGGCTACTCAAACAAACAAATGAGTTAAGCATAGAACTCAAACTTAAAATCATGCGTAAATAAATGTAAATAATTTCAATAACACCAGGTAAAATCCGGAGAACATACAGTGACAGAACTTTAAAAGACAGACAGACAGATAGTACTTGCCCCATTGTGCTGTCATTTAAAGATTGAAAGACAGAAAGGAGAGATCACAGAAAAACTTAGTTTTGCACGTCCATTTACAAAGAATAAATGTGTGTGTGCAGGATTGTTTATCTTAATTGTTTTAAAAAAATAGTTCACCCAAAGATGGGGCAAAAAAAGTCATTATTTATTCAACATTCTGACATTTTTCATCTGAATCGGAAACAAATCTTTCTTTTGATCCGGTTCTTTTCATGAACCAGTTTAAGAATCAGACTGATCTGGTTCTCGAATTCACATCACTGATTAGCATGACTATAATGACTCTGGTCTGTTCATAAGGCTTCAAAAGACAGGCAGGAACCATATAGACTGCATATACTAGTATAATTATTTTTTTTCTTTTTAAACTATGAACTTTTGTTATATAAAAAGAAGCAACATAAATCTTCTCCTTTTATGTTTTCCAGAAAAATAACAGAATACAGGTTTGGAACCACACAAGAGTCAGTAAATAATGGCAATTTTAATTTCTGGGTGAACTATTCCTATGAGGAAATGTTCTGGCTTAAGTACAAGTTAAGCTTTATCGACAGCACCTGTCAATTACCACTGAAAATAAGTTTGACGTGTACCTGGGTTTATAAAAGCAAACAAAAAAAACGATACAGAAATAAAAGTCTATGGGGCAACGAGGTACAAGCTGAAGTCATTTTCTCTGCCAAATTGACAGCAAGCCACATGCTATATCAATAGAGCTTAACCTAGAATATTCCTCTAAATGAGCTGAGCGTCTGTGTATGTGTGCAGATTTGGACCTCAACAGCACATGTCCAGAGGGGAGGGAGCGTTAGCAGTCTCTCTTCCCAGCCGGGGCCCCTGTGTGCTGGGGAGAGTCAGATCAAACGCCTGGCTACAGTGCTCAGGATGGGTGGAGACCAGCTGGACCTCAGTTTAATACAGAGAGCAGCCCTGACAATCGAGGTCACACTCTCACACTCACACACACACACACACACACACACAAACAGGCAGACCTCTCTTGCGAGCCGATGAAAAATATTTGCAAGCAGTCTCAGCTATTTCATAAAACAATAGCTTTGCATACCGAAGGCTCTATCTGATCTTTTTAGTAAATGATAGTGTGTTTGCTCAACATGGGGAGCAGGTTTGTATGTTCTGGGCGAACAGGCGGTACTCACACATGGCTTGTTTTATAGTGTTCCCCAGGTTTGCCTCGATGTAATGCAGACTGTATTCAGGCAAGACCAAGGCCAGGCTGCAGAACACCCACACAGAGAAGAAAAAGACAACGTGTTTTATACATACAAATACTTATGGGAGTTAGGAAACACTTTGCATAGGTAATGCCATAACTCAAACCTGTAGTCTGTCCCATTAACTGGTGCCCAGGTGTATGTCCTGATTCCTCGATCAATGTATCTCTGAAATTAGAATGAAAGGTATAACTGAACCACATATGGACAAAATATGGTACAGAAGAATAATTATAGAAGATCTACACACCTCATCTTGAGATTTCACAAGCGTTTCGATCGTTTTCTCCCCAGGGTCTCTGTCAATCATCAAAGTCCGTATCTGAGAGAGATCAGAAGATCATTGTTAATATATCAACACCATATTCATATACTCCGGTATTTACATGGTACATTTAAAGATACGTTGAATACCATGGTATATGAATCACAGAGGTGTCTACCATTGCCAATTTTACTACCATAATAGTATCCAAAAACTATGATAACGTCAAAAATGTTGGAGCATTTTAATAAAGAAATTACAGTGACATATTTCCTTGAGCTCATTGAATACTAATGTACATTTTCATCTGCAATTACATTTCACTTTGTGCAACAACAAAAAAATGTTCCTTGACTTGTGTGGTCAGACAATGTCAACTACTCACATAAATCCTTACTATCTATGCTAAATATGCATCCCATGAGCAAAAGGGGCTTTTCAGCACGTTTTGTAACTGAAATGGTTTAAACAGTTATTCAAGAAACTCAGACATTATGTTCTGTTCTGTTCTATTCTATTCTATTCTATTCTATTCTATTCTATTCTATTCTATTCTATTCTATTCTATTCTATTCTATCAAATCACAACTTACAAATCAGAACATTTATAAGTACTGAAACACCATAATTCAAGAGTTTGCACATTGAATAAAAACCTCTCAGGTGTTTCATCAATATAGCAATAAAATAATAATGGTGAGATCATGCTATTGTGTGTTTGTATGTGTGTGTTGTGCCATACCTGGACTTTAATGTCATTTTCCAGCTCTGCATCCAGAAAATCCAGTGTAACAGGTTCCTGGAATTTGGGGTTCTAAAGAGGAGAACCGAATGCTGTTAACATATATATCTCTCTGTGTAGTTTAATTTCAGCTTTGGATTGAGTGTTAATGTATTCCAGGTCTACAATACATCACAGTGAAAGTTTCTGTTGAGCTATAGAAATATACAGTGTTTAAAAAGTTCATTTACGGAGGCATAATTCTGATTAATATGTCCTTCTACACAGAAATGGAAGAAAATAAATTAAACTCAATACTTTCATGAAAAAAAAAAATCTGTATTTTATTTACATGTAATCTCCTTTGTGTCCCCCTTTCATAAACATTCACATTTTTGAACGATATAGAAATGTAGAGAATGTGAGAAGAAGATTGTTTCTGCACACTAACAAGTGAATATTTATATACCTCTGAAAAAAATGACTTGCATGAAAACATGAAATAACAGAAAATCTTGTTCTCTCTTTTTTCAGACTTAACCAGATTACATCTACATGTATTGTATCATAACATATAAAGTGCAGACAATTTGTAAACATATTTGTTCGCATGAATACCTATTTCATTACATTGTGGTTGTTAAATTATGATTCATGTTTTTGAGCAAGAACCATGTAGATATTAAAATCGGGGTTGCTTAACAAAACTGAGGCTCGTTCCAGTTTATGAGGTCATATTCTGTTTCTGTAAAGTCCAAGAAACAATGTTTTGCTCTTGGAAACGAATGATTTCATTCATCTGTATTGCTCATCGCATTGAACTTGTACACATTAACAACACTGGCACATGCATCAAATCTATGATGTAAGAAACATAATAACGTGAAATGAGGCAGTCGGAATCTTACATGTAAAATGCAGAGAGCAGAGCAAGCGTGAACACGAGCAGAGATGAGGATGAGGAGAACAAATATGTGAGAATCAAAAACAGAGATGAGACAAAACAATCAGATTATAGAAAGAAAAAAAAGAAACATACAGTATAAATGAGAAAGAAATGAAAAGGAAATCAAAGGAAAAGGACTGAATATGAAAGCAGGCGCATAATGAGAGACAGACAAAACTGAGGAAGGATTTCAAAGTGTCGGGGTCGCCCTCTGCTCCACTACCGCCCCCCCGGGGGAACTCACATATCGTCCAGATATGACTGACATGTGTCGGCATCATGCCTCAATCTACCAGAGCGTGAGAGAGACATATGAAAACATATGATGTCTGGCACTTCTTATGTAGACTGTGAAAACATGTAAACTATTTTTCTACCATGTGCTATGATATCCTGCGCTTGAATTGCACCAACGTCAGTCATAAATATGTCATGTCGCTGAGGTGGGTGTTGCTGTTTATGTTGAACGTGATGATAATAGCGCACCTCTGAGAGTCACGTGACTAACCCTATTATCACACTAATTGCAGTGTTTAAGAGAGAGATACAGAACTCATGGACTGAGTATATAAGTGGCACCAATTAAAAAAAACATCCATTCTGTTAATCGTGCACTTTTCTTGTTGAGATAACTTAAAATTTAAATGCTTAAATAATGTCCCCTAAAACTATGGATATTTATGCCTCACTAAAAAACTGTATTATTAGATTAAACAAAATAAATACATCCACAATGTTTTGTTTGTGTATATTTGTTTAAAATAAATGACACTTGGTTTAATATACTACTATAATCTAATGCATAAAATATGATTCTAAAAAGCTGTCAAAAAATCTTACGAGTTGCCATCTTTAGCCAGTCCAAACATCTTTAATGCCAAATATGTTGACCAGGCAGCAGTATTTTTATAAACAGGAAAGAAAGATGTATACAAGTTCCAGTGAGTCCCACCCAAATCCCCCCTTATCCAGAAATACACAGGCAATGCCAGTTTTACAAAACATATGACACAAAACAGATGTATGATGTATATATTTTTTTAAATCAGAGATGCTAACAAATTATCTATTTAAATAAATCTATGTGATACAAAAAAAATAAAAATACTATATTAGTAGTAATTAATATTGTAAAGGAAAAGTAGAAAGAAGAAAAAGGCAACTTTTGGCCAATTATGAGCCAAAAAAAGCAGCAGAATTTGCCGAAACATGTCAGGCATGTCCATTTCCCCATAACGCCACTGTGGGACAGGCAATGTACCGTTTCAGCAAATGTTTTCCTTTCCCTTTTCTCCTTCTCATTTTTCACTCGTGTGCTTTCACTTGGACAGTAAATCATCTTTTTGTTGTTCGCATTACAAATGGAGGTCAAGTGAGAACACAGACCTGCCGTATGAAGAAATCATTACTGAATCCTTTAAGATTACAAGCACATGACATGAATACCAACTGCTTGAGATATGCATTGGATGCAAGTGCTGAACGTGCTACATTAGGCTGAACTCTCCAGTATATCTGGTAATGGTTGGAACAAATAAAACACATTATCTTTCTGATCCGCCAGACAGGAAATATCTCAGTGAACTCTCACTCTGTAGACACAAACAAACATCAGATGGCATGCTAGCACTCCTGATAACCATTACACACACTTACTGAAGTCATATCCCTGCTCAATACACCAGCATAACTGATCATAAGCATATGCTGTGTTTTGAATGCTGGCTCCCACTATGTGTGTGTGTGTGTATAAATAAATATGTACAAATTAATATTTTTAAATATTTATTTTTATATATATATATATATATATATATAAAAAAATATATAGTATTATCCAACTAAAGTAAAAAAGTTTGGGTTCAGTAATATTTTTTTATTATACTTTAATTCAGAAAGGATGAATTTAATCATCAAAAAAGACAGTCCAGACAATTAAATTGCTATAAAAATTGTATTTTTTACAGTTTCTATTAAAAAAAATCAAATCAGCATTTTTAAATGATTTCTGAAGAATTATGTGACACTGACGACTGGAGTAATGGCTGCTTTTTTTATTTTTTTTTTAATTATTTTAATATTGTAATAACATTTCACAATATTACTGTTTTTTACTTACTTGATCAAATAATGCAGCCTTGGCACAGAAACATGAAAAATCGTACCCCAAACTTTTGAACTGATCAAATTATATTTCCCTTTCAAGGGAACTTCGAGCTGCGTCAAACGCTGCGGGAACGCCCCTGCGTTGTGCGTCATGAAGCACGTATGGAATCAGCCCAATGGAGAGATGAAACGTCATAGGCGGGTGACGTCATCGACCAGGAAACTATAAAGCACCCCAAAAACACAAGCGCATTAGCTTCTGTGCTTTCAGTCGCGCTACATGTGAATCTGTCCCTGTGTGATATTGTCTGTCTTTACATACCCTGCACCACACAAACAATTTATCCTTATATTGAGAGATATGGCGGACGAACAACAGTTTAGGAAGTGTGTTCCTCCCTGCTCGCGTTATTTAACGAGCGGGGATACACATGATCTTTGTGTTGTTTGTTTGGGAGTTCAGCATGCCCAGTCTGCTCTCGAGGGGGCAGACTGTGAGCATTGCGAGCGTCTGCCGTTAAGGACGCTCCGCTCCCGCCGAGCGCTCTTTGAGGAGAGCGGTTCGGTGCGCGCTCCCCGCGGTTCGGGTCCCGCTTCTGCCGAGGCAGAGCGGCGGCGCTTATCGTGGGGATCGCAGATGGATCTCACAGCGGGGTTTGAGACGGGCTCTGCCTTATCTCTCCCTTCACCTGTGAGATCCAGTGCCTCAGTCCCGGGTTCGGAAGCACGCGCTGCGGTTTCTTCCGCTCGGGCTGAGGCACCAATGCTGCAGCTATCCAGTTCTGAGGAGCTGGATGTTGTCAGTGTTGAGGGAGATGTGGAGGATTCGCCACCCCACACTCCCGAAAGTGATGAGCTTATGGAGGTTTTAACAAGAGCTGTTGAAAAACTTAATATTGAATGGCCAGTGACTAGACAGGAGTCTGTTTCTAAATCAAAGTTGGATGAGAGATTTTTGCCGTCACGTGTGCAGCCTCCACGCCGGTGCCTGCCGTTTTTCCATGATCTCCACACCGAGGTGTCGAAATCATGGAGAAAACCGGTGTCATATAGAGTGTTTAGTCCCCAGACTTCAACATATGCAAATATAATGGGAGCCAAGGCTCATGGTTATGGTGCTTTGCCTCGTGTGGAAGAGACGCTTGCGAGCCATCTCTCCCCCGAAGCAGCATCATCTTTTAAGGCACCGGCATTACCCACCAAGCCATTAAGAAACACCTCGGCTTTGGTGGGTAAAGCATATTCGGCAGCAGGTCAGGCTGCGTCATGCCTGCATACTATGTCAATCTTGCAGGCATACCAGGCTGATCTGCTAAGGGACGTGAGTGAGAGTGAGGAGGTCAGTACTGACGTAGTTCGCGAACTGCGTCAGGCTGCTGATTTATCCCTGCGTGCCACCAGAGAATCGGCCAAGCTAGTGGGTCGTTCTATGGCAGCTCTGGTGGCCGCAGAAAGACATTTGTGGTTAAATCAAACCAATATTAAAGAGAAAGAAAAAGCTTTTCTTTTAGATGCTCCTCTCTCTCCCCTGGGTTTGTTTGGTGATGCTGTAAATTCAGTTATCGATAAATTCCAGGAAGAAAAGAAACAAACTGCAGCTTTTAAAAAGTTTCTTCCCCTTAAAGTTCACGTCCCTGGGGCTGCTGGGCGGGAGCAGCCCCGGCCGTCTATGAGCTCATCACATAGAGCGCAGCAGAGGCAGAGTGTCGCGTCTCGTGCTCCCCCTGCTGGACAGTGGGCTCAGCCGCGACACTCTCAGCCGAAGCCTTCTAGCAATAGAACTGATCTGAGGACAGTTATATTGGCTAAGAAGGCTTCGGCTAAGAAGAAGTCCTGACGCCAAGGCGTTCAGGATACTGAGGGTGGTCCCCACCGAGGCGGAAAGGTGTTCACCTCTTTTTACGGTGCCCATTCCTCCTCGGTGCCCTCAGGGGCTCGTTCTGCCAACCCCGCCTTTATGCCGGGGCACAGACGATCCCAGCGAGCGCTTTCCCGAGGGACGCTCGCTCCCTCTGAGGAGGGTCTCAGAGCGGTCAAACCA